TCTCTACATATATGCATATATATAAATCTATCTATCTATCTATCAATCTATATATATATATATATACATGTACACACACACACATATATGTGTACACACACACACACACACATAGACACACACGCACACATACATATATATGTGTATGTATATATATATATATATATATATATATATATATATATATATATATATATATATGTATGTATGTATGTATGTATTTATACATATATGCATATATATATATATATATATATATATATATATATATATATATATATATATATATATATATATATGTATATATATATGTATACATACATATATATATATATATATATATATATATATATATATATATATATATATATATATATATATATATATGTATATATATATATATATATATATATATATATATATATATATATATATACATATATATGTATATATATATGTATATATATATGTATATATATATATATATATATATATATATATATATATATATATATATATATATACATATATATATTTATGTGTGTGTGTGTGTGTGTGTGTGTGTGTGTGTGTGTGTATATATGTACATACGTGTACATATATTCCCATAATACTAATATGAAGCCAGAGCTTATCCAGCCGGCATTTCAATCATCCCCTCCCCTCCTGACAATTGAACAGCGAGGCTCCTCCAAACATGAACTATGGCTCTCACTGCCCCCTCCCCTTAACCCTCGCTGCCACGCGTCTCGAGCTGCGCCGCTCTCTGTAGGGATCCGTGAGTCATTTGTAACGCTGATCTCCTTGGGTAATAACAAGTGTTGGGGAGGATATTGGCAGGAAGGGGAGGAGGGGAGGGAGAGAGGAGATAGAATTGGGCGAGGGAGGGAGGAAGGGAGGTACAGGAGGAGGTGAGAGAGAGAGACAGCTAGGGAGTGGAGGAGAGGGAGAGAGGGAGCGAGGAGAGAGTAAGTGAGAGATGAAGTAAGAGAGGAGAAGGTTAGGAGGAGGAGAGGGAGAGAGGGGAGAGGGGGAGGGACGGAGAAAGGGAAAAGAAGGAAAGTGAAAGGGAGAGGAAAGAAACAAAGAGGGAGGAGATGAAGGGAGGGAGAGAGAGATGGAAGGGTGAGGGAGGGATGAAGCAAGGGAGGAGGTGAAGGGGAGACGAGAGGGATAGAGAAGGTAGAGGGAGAGAGGGAGGAAGGAGAGGGAATGATAAAGGAAGGGAGAAAGGGAAAGGGAGACGAGAGGGACAGAAATGGAGGGGAGGAGGAGAGGGAGAGGAGGGAGGGAGGAAGGAAAGGAGAAAATGAAAGGGATGTTAAACGAGAGAGACAGAGAAGGAAGAGGCAGGGGAGGGATAAAGGGAGGGAGGAGAGGGTGAGGGAGGGATGAAAGGGAGGTAGAAAGTGAAAGGGAGATGAGAGGGACAAAGAAGGAGGGGGGGAGGGAACGTGAATAGGAAATGAGAAAGACGGTGAGGTAGGGAAAACAGGAGGAGGTGAAGGGTGGAATGAAAGAAGGAGAGGGTAGGGGTAACTAAAGGAAGGAAGAAGGGAGGACGTAAAAGAAAACAGAGAAGGACAGCGAGGAAGGATGAAGGCAGGAGGTAGAGGACACAATGAAAGAGGAAAGATGGAGGTAGATGGAGAATTAAGGAAGAGAGAAGTGGGGAAAAAAGAAGAAAAGGAGGAAGAAGTATGGAAAGAGGGCGAGAGAAAGAAAGAGGAGGGTTAGAAGGAAGAAAGGAGAATGAGAGGAGAAGGTGGAGAGAGGAATGGGAAGGTGAAGGAGTGAAAACGGAAGGAAAGGAAATGAGGGGTAAATGAAAGACGGAGCGGAGGAACGAAATGGAGAATGAAGGACAAAGGCAGGAGAGGGAGAGAAAGGGAAAGAATGAAGTAAAGTGGAAGGAAAAAGAAACGATAGATAGATAGAAAGAGAGAGCGATAGATAGATAGATAGACAGACAGATAGATAGAGAGAGAGAGAGAGAGACAAAAAGACAAAAAATCATAAACGAGAATAAGGAAATACGAATAAGAAGGAACGAAGAGCAGGAGACGAGAAGACGCGAAAGTCGGAACGAGAAATAGATGCAGTATACCTTCCTAAGACGTGATATGCAGAGGCAAAGTATTTTGATTGGGCGAATCGTATTCCGAATCCAGCAGAAAGGAAGGACGGAGGCTTTAGTGATGCCTTGCACGGAATCCGTCCTCGACAAAAAGAAAAAAGGGGAATAAAGGGAAAAAAGAGGGAAAAAGGAGGTAAAGCGAGAAACGAACGTGGTGTATCTAAACACATGGTTTGTGTGAGAAAGGAAGAAGGACTATTATTAAAAAAAACAAAACATATACATGCATATATATATATATATATATATATATATATATATATATATATATATATGTATATATATATATACATATATGCATATATATATATATATGTATATATATATACATATGTGCATATATATATATATATATATATATATATATATATATATATATATATATAATCTACTTTTTAAAAAGTTTAAAATGAAAATAATAATACTAACAAAAAGAAAGAAAAAAAAAAGAAAGAAAGAAAGATAGAAAAAAAAAAAAAAACATAAAACACTAAATGAGACAATCAGCACTCGTCAGCCAACATCCGAAACCCGGCACCCGACACTTAACACCCGATAAAGAAACCCAATACCCCGTACCCAACACCCACTACTCGATACCCGACACCCAATATCTGTTACCTGACACCCAACACCCGATATCTGACACCCAAAACTCGTTACCCGACGCTTAACATCCGATACCTGATACCCAACACACGATACCTGACACCCAACACCCGATATCCGACACCCAACACCCGATACCAGTTACCCGACACCCAACCCCTGCTAACCGATACCCAACAACCAACACCCAACATCCGATACCTGATCCCCGACATGCAACACCCGATACCAGACATCCAACACCCGATACCCGACACCACACACCCAATACCCGTTACCCGAAACCCAACACCCAATACCCGTTACCCGACACACACCCAACATCCGATACCTGATCCCGAACATGCAACACCCGATACCAGACAACCAACACCCGATACCCGACACCACATACCCGTTACCCGACACCCAACACCCGATACCCGTTACCCGACACCCAACACCCAACACCCGATAACCGATCCCCGACATCCAACACCCGATACCTCACACCCACTACCCGATCACCGACTCCCAACACTCGATACCCGACATCCAAGACCTGATACCTGACACAAATTACCCGATACCCGACACCCGATACCTGATACCCAACACCCGATAACTGACACTCACTACCCGATACCTGACACCCACTACCCGATACCCGACACCCACTACCCGATACCCGACACCCAACACCCGATACACGACACAAAATACCCGATAACCGACACCCGAAACCCAACACCCATTGTCCATTGTTCGACACACGCCACCCATTACCCGACACCTAACACCCGATACCCGATACCCGACACAAAATACCCAATACCCGACACCTGAAACCCAACACCTGATACACAAAATCCAATACCCGATACCCGACACCCAACACCTGATTCCTGATACACAAAATCCAATACCCGATACCTGACACCCAATACCCGATATCCGACACCCAATACCCGATCCCCGACACCCAACACCCGATACCTGATACCCGAGATCTAACACCCAATACCAGATACGCAACACCCGATACCCCACACCCAATACCCTGATACCTGATACCAGACACCCAACGCCCGATACCTGACACTCAATACCCGTTACCCGAAACCCACGCCCGATACCCGATACCCATTACCCGACACCCAATACCTGTTACCCGACACCCAACACCCGATACACGACACCCAATACCCGTTACCCGACACCCAACACCCGTTACCCGATACCCAATACACGACACCCGACACCCGATAACCGATCCCCGAAACACAACACCCAACATGCAACACCCGATACCAGGCACCCAACACCCGATACCTGACACCCAACACCCGATGCCCAAAACCCGTTATCCGATACCCAACACCCAATACCTGATACACGACACCCAACACCCGATACCTGACACCCAACACCCGATACCCGACACCCAAAACCCGTTATCCGACACCCAACACCCGATAACCGACACCCAATACCTGATACATGACACCCAACACCCAATAACCGACATTCAACACCCGATACCAGACAGCTAACACCCAATACCCGATCCCGACATCCAACACCCAATACCTGACACCCACTATCCGATCCCCGACACCCAACACTCGATAACTGATATCCAACACCCGATACCTGACACAGATTACCCTATACCCGATACCCAACGTCCAATACCCGATACCTGACACCCAACATCAGATAACTGACACTCACTACCCGATACCTGACAACCATTACCCGATACCCGACACCCCACCCGATACCCGACACACAATACCCGATACCCGAAACCCAATATCCGATACCCGGAACCCAACACCCAATGCCCAATGTCCGACACCCGTCACCCAATACCTGATACACAACACATGATACCCGACTCCCAATACCCGTTACCTGACACCCACTATCCGATCCCAACACTTGATAACCAATATCCAACACCTGATACCTGACACAGAGTACCCGATACCCGACACACAATACCTGATACCCAACACCCAATACCTGACACCCAACACCCGATAACTGACACTCACTACCCGATACCTGACAGCCATTACCCAATACCCAACCCCCGACACCGACACACAATGCCCGATGCCCGACACCCGAAACCATACATCAACCACACGGAACCCAACACCCAATCCCCAATGTCCGACACCTGTCACCCAATACCCGATACCTGATACACAACACACGATACCCGACACCCAATACCTGTTACCCGACACCTAACACCCGACACCCAATGCCCAATGTCCGACACCCGATACCCGACACACAACACCCGATACCTGATACACAAAACCCAATACCCGATACCCAACACCCAATACCCGAAACCCAACAACTGATACCTGACACCAACACCCATTGCCCGGTGTCCGACACCAAACACCCGATACCCGACGTACATCACCTGTTACCAACATCTAATACCCGACACAAAATACCCAATACCCGAAACCCAACACCCAACAACCAATAGCTGATGCACAAAATCCAATACCCGATACCTGACACCCAATACCCGCTATCCAATGCCCAATACCCGACATCCAACACCCGATACCAGACAGCTAACGCCTAATACCCGATCCCGACATCCAACACCCAATACCTGACACCCACTATCCGATCCCCGACACCCAACACTCGATAACTGATATCCAACACCCGATACCTGACACAGATTACCCTATACCCGATACCCAACATCCAATACCCGATACCTGACACCCAACATCAGATAACTGACACTCACTACCCGATATCTGACAACCATTACCCGATACCCGACACCCCACCCGATACCCGATACCCGACACCCGAAACCCAATATCCGACACCCGGAACCCAACACCCAATGCCCAATGACCGACACCCGTCACCCAATACCTGATACACAACACATGATACCCGACTCCCAATACCCGTTACCTGACACCCACTATCCGATCCCAACACTTGATAACCAATATCCAACACCTGATACCTGACACAGAGTACCCGATACCCGACACACAATACCCAATACCCAACACCCAATACCTGACACCCAACACCCGATAACTGACACTCACTACCCGATACCTGACAGCCATTACCCAATACCCAACCCCCGACACCGACACACAATGCCCAATGCCCGACACCCGAAACCATACATCAACCACACGGAACCCAACACCCAATCCCCAATGTCTGACACCCGTCACCCAATACCCGATACCTGATACACAACACACGATACCCGACACCCAAAACCTGTTACCCGACACCTAACACCCGATACCCGACACCTAACACCCGATACCCGACACCCAATGCCCAATGTCCGACACCCGATACCCGACACGCAACACCCGATACACAAAACCCAATACCCGATATCTGACACTTAATACCCGACACCGAACACCCGATACTTGAAACAAAACACCTGATACCTGATAGCTGAAACACCCGATAACTGACACCCAACATTCGATACCATACACCCAGTACCCGATACCCGACATCCAATAGCCGATGCCTGAACCCCAATACCCGAAACCCAACAACTGATACCTGACACCAACACCCATTGCCCAGTGTCCGACACCAAACACCCAATAGCCGACGTACATCACCTCTAATACCCAACACAAAATACCCAATACCCGAAACCCAACACCCAAGAACCGATAGCTGATGCACAAAATCCAATACCCGCTATCCAATACCCAATACCCGATCCTCGACACCCAACACCCGATACCTGATAGCTGAAACACCCGATAACTGACACCCAACATTCGATACCATACACCCAGTACCCGATACCCGACACCCAATAGCCGATGCCTGAACCCCAATACCCGATACCCAACACCCAATACCCGAAACCCAACAACTGATACCTGACACCAACACCCATTGCCCAGTGTCCGACACCAAACACCCAATACCCGACGTACATCACCTGTTACCAACATCTAATACCCGACACAAAATACCCAATACCCGAAACCCAACACCCAACAACCGATAGCTGATGCACAAAATCCAATACCCGCTATCCAACGCCCAATACCCGATCCTCGACACCCAACACCCGATACCCGACATCCAACACCCGATATCTGACACCCAACACCCGATACCTGACATCGAACCCCTGATACCAAATAACTAACACACAACACCCGATTCCCGATCCACGACATCCAACACCCGATACCAGACACCTAACACCCAATACCCGATCCCGACATCCAACACCCGATACCTGACACCCACTATCTGATCCCCGACACCCAACACTCGATAACCGATATCCAACACCCAATACCTGACACCCAACACCCGATAACTGACAATCAATACCCGATACCTGACCATTACCCAATACCCGACACTTGATACACAAAACCCAATACCCGATACTTGACACCCAATACCCGATACCTGACACCCAATACCCGATACCTGACACTCAATACCCGATCCCCGACACCCAATACCCGATCCTCGACACCCAGCACCCGATACCCGACATCCAACACCCGATACCCGATTCCCGACACCGAACACCCAATACCTAATACCTGACACAAAACACCCAATACCCGACACCCAATCATCCGATACTTCACACGCAACACCTGAAACCCCATACCAGACATCGAACACCCGACACCCAATCATCCGATACTTCACACGCAACACCCGAAACCCCATACCAGACATCGAACACCCGACACCCAATACCCGATGTCCGACTCCCACACGATACCTGACACAGATTACCCTATACGCAACACACAATACCCGATACCCAACACCCGATAACTGACAATCAATACCCAATACCTGACAACCATTACCCGATACCCGACACCTGATACACAAAACCCAATACCCGATACCTGACACCCAATACCTGATACCTGACACTCAATACCCGATCCTGACACCCAATACCCGATCCTCGACACCCAGCACCCGATACCCGACATCCAACACCCAAACCCGATTCCCGACACCGAACACCCAATACCTAATAACTGACACAAAACACCCAATCATCCGATACTTCACACCCGATACATGACACCCAACACCCAAAACCTGATACCCGACACCCAAAACCCGTTATCTGACACCCAACACCTGATACATGACACCCAACACCCAAAACCCGTTATCCGACACCCAACACCCGATACCCGACACCCAACACCCGATAACCGACACCCAACACCCGATACCCGACACCTAACACCCAATACCTAATACCTGACACAAAACACCCAATACCCGACACCCAATCATCCGATACTTCACACGCAACACCCGAAACCCCATACCAGACATCGAACACCCGACACCCAATCATCCGATACTTCACACGCAACACCCGAAACCCCATACCAGACATCGAACACCCGACACCCAATACCCGATACCTGAAATAACACCCGATACCCGTAACCCAACACCCAATGCCTGATGTCCGACTCCCGCCACCCGCCCCCCTATCTGATATACAACACCCGATACCCGATATTCAACTCCCAATACCCGAAAATCAACAACCGATACCCGACACCTAACACCCGATACCTGTAACCCAACACCCAATGTCTGATGTCCGACTCCCGCCACCCGACACCCGATCCCAGATATACAACACCCGATACCCGATATTCAACACCCAATACCCGAAAACCAACAACCGATACCCGACACCTAACACCCGATACCCGACACAAATCCCCAATACCTGATACCCGATACCTGACACCCAATACCCGATACCTGACACCTAATACCCAATATCCAACACCCAATACCCGATCCTCGACACCAAACACCCGATACCCGACATCCAACACCCGATATCTGACACCCAACACCCGATATCCGACATCAAAAACCTGATACCCGATACCTAACACACAACATCCGATGCCAGACACCCAACACCCGATATACGACACCCAATAGCTGTTACCCGATACCTGACACCCAAAACCCGTTACCCGGTACGCGACACCCAACACCTGATACCTGACATACAACACCCGATACCTGACACCCAACACCCCACACCCAATACCCTGATACCTGATATCAGACACCCAACGCCCAATACCTGACATCCAATACCTGTTACTCGACACCCAACACCCGATACCCGACACCCAACACCCAATACCCGTTACCCAAAACCCACGCCCGATACCCGACACCCAATACCCATTACCCAACACCCAATACCTGTTACCCGACACCCAACACGCGATACACGACACCCAATACCCGTTACCCGACACCCAACACCCAATACCCGTTACCCGACAACCGATCCCCGAAACACAACACCCAACATGCAACACCCGATACCAGGCACCCAACACCCGATACCCAAAACCCGTTACCCGACACCCAACACCCAATACCCGTTACCCGACAACCGATCCCCGAAACACAACACCCAACATGCAACACCCGATACCAGGCACCCAACACCCGATACCTGACACCCAACACCCAATACCCAAAACCCGTTATCCGACACCCAACACCCAATACCTGATACACGACACCCAATACCAGATACCTGACACCCAACATCCAAAACCTGTTATCCGACACCCAATACCTGATACATGACACCCAACACCCAATAATCCACTATCCGATCCCCGACACCCAACACTCGATAACCGATATCCAACACCCGATACCTGACACAGATTACTCTATATGCAACACACAATACCTGCTACCCAACACCCAACACATCCAATACCCAACATCCAATACCCGATACCTGACACCCAACATCCGATAACTGACACTCACTACCCGATACCTGACAACCAATAACCGATACCCGACACCCCACCCGATACCCGACACCCGAAACCCAATATCCGACACCCGGAACCCAACACCCAATGCCCAATGTCCGATACACAACACATGATACCCGACTCCCAATACCCGTTACCCGACACCTAACACCCAATACCCGACACCCGAAACCTAACACCCGATACCCGACATCCAACACGCGATATCTGACACCCAACACCCGATCCTCGACATGGAACACCTGATACCCGATACCTAACACACAACACCCGATTCCCGAAACCCAACACCCGATACTCGACATGGAACACCTGATACCCGATACCTAACACACAACACCCGATTCCCGATTCCCGACATCCAACGCCCGATACCCGAGATCTAACGCCCAATACCAGACACTCATCACACGATACACGACACTCAAAACCCGTTATCCAACACCTGATACCTGATACACGACACCCAACACTCGATACACTTCACTTCACACGCAACACCCGAAACACCATACCAGACATCAAACACCCGACACCCAATACCTGAAATAACACCTGATACCCGACACCCGTAACCCAATGTCCAACTCCCACCACCCGACACCCAATACCCGAAAACCAACAACCGATACCCGACACCTAACACCCGATACCCGACACCTAACAAAAATAACCAAAATCCAAAACCCAATACCTGAAACCCAACACCCCAATAGCTGATACCAGACACCCAACACCCGATCCCTGACGTTTAACGCCGATACCTGACATCCAATACCCGTTACCCGACACCCAACACCCGATATCCGACAACCAATACCCGTTACCTAAAACCCAACACCCGATACGCGACACCCAATACCCGTTACCTGACACCCAACACCCGATACGCAACACCCAATACCCATTACCCGACACCCAACACCCAATACCCGATACGTGACACCCGATAACCGATCCCTGACATCCAACACCCAACATTCAACACCTGATACCAGGCACCCAACACCCGATACCCGACACCCAAAACCCGTTATCCGACACCCAACACCCAATACCTGATACACGACACCCAACACCCGATAACCAATCCCCGACATCCAACATCCGATACCAGACACCTAACACCCGACACCCAATACCCGATCCCGACATCCAACACCCGATACCTGACACCCACTATCCGATCCCCGACACCCAACACTTGATAACCAATATCCAACACCTGATACCTGACACAGAGTACCCGAATCGCGACACACAATACCCAACACCCAATACCTGACACCCAACACCCGATAACTGACACTCACTACCCGATACCTGACAGTCATTACCCAATACCCGACACCCAACCCCCGACACCGACACACAATGCCCGATACCCGAAACCATATATCAACCACACGGAACCCAACACCCAATACCCGATATCTGACACTCAATACCCGACACCGAACACCCGATACTTGACACAAAACACCCGATACCCGACACCCAACACCAGACATCCAATACCTGATATCTGAAACACCCGATAACTGACACCCAACATTCGATACCATACACCCAGTACCCGATATCCAACGCCCAATTCCCGATCCTCGACACCCAACACCCGAAAACCGACATCCAACACCCGATATCTGACACCCAACACCCGATACCCGACATCGAACACCTGATACCCGATACCTAACACACAACACCCGATTCCCGACATCCAACACCCGATACCAGACACCCACTATCTGATCCCCGACACCCAACACTCAATAACCGATATCCAACACCCGATACCTGACACAGATTACCCTATACGCAACACACAATACCCGATACCCAACACCCAATACCTGACACCCGACACACAACACCCAATACCTGATACACGATACCCAACACCCGATACCTGACACCCAACACCCAATACCTGATATCCGACACCCAAAACCCGTTATCCGACACCCAATATCTGATACACGACACCCAACACCTGATACCAGACACCTAAAATCTATTACCCAATCCAATACCTGACCAATAACCGATATCCAATACCCGTTACCCGACACCCAAAATCCATTATCCGACACAACACCCGATACCAGACACCTAACACCCAATACCCGATCCCGACACCCAACACCCGATAACTGACAATCAATACCCGATACCTGACACGTGATACACAAAACCCAATACCCGATACCTGACACCCAATACCCAATACGTAACACTCAATACCCAATACCTGACACGTGATACACAAAACCCAATACCCGATACCTGACACCCAATACCCAATACGTAACACTCAATACCCAATACCTGACACGTGAGCTATTGGATGTCAGCATCTGGAATCGGGTATTGGATGTCAGCATCTGGAATCGGGTATTGGATGTCAGCATCTGGAATCGGGTATTGGATGTCAGCATCTGGAATCGGGTATTGGATGTCAGCATCTGGAATCGGGTATTGGATGTCAGCATCTGGAATCGGGTATTGGATGTCAGCATCTGGAATCGGGTATTGGATGTCAGCATCTGGAATCGGGTATTGGATGTCAGCATCTGGAATCGGGTATTGGATGTCAGCATCTGGAATCGGGTATTGGATGTCAGCATCTGGAATCGGGTATTGGATGTCAGCATCTGGAATCGGGTATTGGGTGTCATACATCGGGTATCGGGTATTGGATGTCAGCATCTGGAATCGGGTATTGGATGTCAGCATCTGGAATCGGGTATTGGATGTCAGCATCTGGAATCGGGTATTGGATGTCAGCATCTGGAATCGGGTATTGGATGTCAGCATCTGGAATCGGGTATTGGGTGTCATACATCGGGTATCGGGTATTGGATGTCAGCATCTGGAATCGGGTATTGGATGTCAGCATCTGGAATCGGGTATTGGATGTCAGCATCTGGAATCGGGTATTGGATGTCAGCATCTGGAATCGGGTATTGGATGTCAGCATCTGGAATCGGGTATTGGATGTCAGCATCTGGAATCGGGTATTGGATGTCAGCATCTGGAATCGGGTATTGGATGTCAGCATCTGGAATCGGGTATTGGATGTCAGCATCTGGAATCGGGTATTGGATGTCAGCATCTGGAATCGGGTATTGGATGTCAGCATCTGGAATCGGGTATTGGATGTCAGCATCTGGAATCGGGTATTGGATGTCAGCATCTGGAATCGGGTATTGGATGTCAGCATCTGGAATCGGGTATTGGATGTCAGCATCTGGAATCGGGTATTGGATGTCAGCATCTGGAATCGGGTATTGGATGTCAGCATCTGGAATCGGGTATTGGATGTCAGCATCTGGAATCGGGTATTGGATGTCAGCATCTGGAATCGGGTATTGGATGTCAGCATCTGGAATCGGGTATTGGATGTCAGCATCTGGAATCGGGTATTGGATGTCAGCATCTGGAATCGGGTATTGGATGTCAGCATCTGGAATCGGGTATTGGATGTCAGCATCTGGAATCGGGTATTGGATGTCAGCATCTGGAATCGGGTATTGGATGTCAGCATCTGGAATCGGGTATTGGATGTCAGCATCTGGAATCGGGTATTGGATGTCAGCATCTGGAATCGGGTATTGGATGTCAGCATCTGGAATCGGGTATTGGATGTCAGCATCTGGAATCGGGTATTGGATGTCAGCATCTGGAATCGGGTATTGGATGTCAGCATCTGGAATCGGGTATTGGATGTCAGCATCTGGAATCGGGTATTGGATGTCAGCATCTGGAATCGGGTATTGGATGTCAGCATCTGGAATCGGGTATTGGATGTCAGCATCTGGAATCGGGTATTGGATGTCAGCATCTGGAATCGGGTATTGGGTGTCATACATCGGGTATCGGGTATTGGATGTCAGCATCTGGAATCGGGTATTGGATGTCAGCATCTGGAATCGGGTATTGGATGTCAGCATCTGGAATCGGGTATTGGATGTCAGCATCTGGAATCGGGTATTGGATGTCAGCATCTGGAATCGGGTATTGGATGTCAGCATCTGGAATCGGGTATTGGATGTCAGCATCTGGAATCGGGTATTGGATGTCAGCATCTGGAATCGGGTATTGGATGTCAGCATCTGGAATCGGGTATTGGATGTCAGCATCTGGAATCGGGTATTGGATGTCAGCATCTGGAATCGGGTATTGGATGTCAGCATCTGGAATCGGGTATTGGATGTCAGCATCTGGAATCGGGTATTGGATGTCAGCATCTGGAATCGGGTATTGGATGTCAGCATCTGGAATCGGGTATTGGATGTCAGCATCTGGAATCGGGTATTGGATGTCAGCATCTGGAATCGGGTATTGGATGTCAGCATCTGGAATCGGGTATTGGATGTCAGCATCTGGAATCGGGTATTGGATGTCAGCATCTGGAATCGGGTATTGGATGTCAGCATCTGGAATCGGGTATTGGATGTCAGCATCTGGAATCGGGTATTGGATGTCAGCATCTGGAATCGGGTATTGGATGTCAGCATCTGGAATCGGGTATTGGATGTCAGCATCTGGAATCGGGTATTGGATGTCAGCATCTGGAATCGGGTATTGGGTGTCATACATCGGGTATCGGGTATTGGATGTCAGCATCTGGAATCGGGTATTGGATGTCAGCATCTGGAATCGGGTATTGGATGTCAGCATCTGGAATCGGGTATTGGATGTCAGCATCTGGAAT